GGATGTGGGGTGGGAGAGGAGTGGGGAGAAGGGAGGCTGCAGGGGCCACCTGGGCCAGCTGTGGACACCAAGGGGCCTTTGGCACCACTGGGGGGCAACTGGAGCCAGCTGGGAGCTCACTGGGCTGACTGGAAGCACACTGGGGATGCAGTGGGGATGCATTGGCACCACTCTGAGGTGACTGGGATCACACTGGGGTGACTGGGATCACACTGGGGATGACTGGGGCTGTGCTGGGCTGACTGGGATCACACTGGGGATGCAGTGGGGACACGTTGGCACCACACTGGGGCTGACTGGGATCACACTGAGGTGACTGGGATCAAACTGGGCTGAATGGGGCTGTGCTGGGCTGACTGGGACCACACTGAGGACGCATTGGCACCACACTGAGGTGACTGGGATCATGCTGGGGCTGACGGGATCACACCGGGATTACACTGGGACTGACTGGGGCTGTGCTGGGCTGACTGGGACTGCACTGGGGACACACTGGGGACGCATTGGCATCGCACTGAGGCTGACTGGGATCATGCTGGGGCTGACTGGGATCACACTGGGGTCACACTGTGCTGACTGGGATCAGGCTGGGCTGACTGAGGCTGTGCTGGGCTGACTGGTACCGCACTGGGGATGCACTGGGGACGCACTGGCACCACACTGGGGCTGACTGGGATCACACTGGGGCCGCCTGGAGCCGCCCCCTCAGCAGGGCCGCCACAGCGGCGACCACCGCGGCCCCCCTTGCCCCGCCCCGCCCTTCCCCTCTCCACCAATGAGGAGCGGGCCGGGAGGTGCCAATCACCCGGCTGGGCCAACCGGAGCGCCGCGGGGGCGGGCCCGGGGCTGAGGCAAAGTTGCCGGGCGGCTGCGGAGCCGCTCAGGGGCAGCGCGGGGTCCGCCGGCCCCTCACGGCCGCACCTCACGGCCCCCTCAGCGCCCCTCACGGCCATGGCGTGCGCCCAGCTGCTGGCCATGTGCCTGCTGCCGGCCAAGGCCGGTGCCGTGCCGCACCGGGAGCCGCTGCCCATCTTCCACGACGTGAGTAGCCGGCGCCGGGGAGCGGGCCCCGTGCGGCCGAGGGGGGTGAGGGGGGTGTGGGGGAGCGGGACGGAGCCGGGCCGGGCCGGGCCTCAGCCCCGCAGCTTGCCGGAGGGCGTTTAACGCCTTATAACGCCTTTTAACGCCTTTTAACGTCTCCCCGGGCGGCTCTCTGCGGCTGGCTGGCTCCCAGCCGTGCTCCGTCCCGAGCATCGCCTCCGCTACCGGCACCTCCGAGAGCCCCGAGGCGCGGAGCTGCCGCTCTGCCCCCCCCCAGAGCCGTGGGGATGGGGCCGGGGGGCTGCGGCTCGCTGGGGGCACCCAGCGGGGCCTGGGGAGCTGCAGGAGGGGCTGGAAGCAGCTCCAGGGGGTTCCCCGCTGATGCTCGTGGCGGGGAGAGCTCCCGGGGGCTTCTGCTGTGATGAAGGCTGAGAGGGAGAGGTGAGAGAGGGGGCCAGGGGAGAGAAAAGCAGCCTGTGCCTGCCTGGATGTGCCAGGTTGTGCTCTAACGAGCCAGGTCAGCTCTCCTGGTCAGCGCTCCGGCATTCGCCACTGCTGGAAGCTGCTCACAGCCCGGGGAGGTGAGGAGGAGGAGGAGGAGGAGGAGGAGTGGGGGGGGCTTTATCTGATGCTTCGCTGTGGGTGCTGTGCGAGCCGCAGCGCTGCCGTTGCAGTTCTGTCTCTGCAGACATCCCAAGCCTCTGGGATGTTTGGCTCCCAGGCTGGACCCCGGGGCTCCTTCGCTTTCCTCTCTGCATACCAGAGACTGAGCAGAGCCGCCTGGGCAGCCAGCCGTGAGCACAGTGCTTTCACCCTGCTGTCCCCTCCCTGCAGCCAGCCTGGCCCTGGCTGAGTGTCCGGGAGCTGGGGTTGCTTCCAGTCCTGTGTGCAGGGGTAAGCCTGTGACATCCTTCCTTCCCAGGGCTGGGGGGCTTGGGAAGTGTTGGTTCAGGGCTTCCTCCATCGCTCTCAGCCTGCGTGCCGTCGCAGGCACTGAGTGGGGTGCAGCTGCTTGGGCACAGGGACAAAGGGACAGAGACATCTCTCTTTCAGGCTCGCAGCAGCATTCCTGTGTTTTTGGAGCTGCCAGCTGCCCTGAATGCGAGTGAGGATTGAGGCAGGGCTCCCCAGCAGCCCACGCAGACCTGTTCCCACTCTCAGGCTGAGTCCCCCTCACTGTCCCCAGCATCACCCGGCCTCAGGGGAAATGGGGCAGGCGCTGCCCCCTCTCGCAGGGCTCTGGTGGCTCTGCTTCCCAGCTGAGCTGAGCTCAGGTAGGAAGTGCAGACCCGAGAGCCCTGGTGGCAGCAGATGCACCAGCAGACCCTTTAGCCTGGAGAAACCTTTGCTTTAAAACCCAGAGAAATCCCTAATGTGTGGGAGCTGCAGGTTTCTGTACTTAGCTCTAGCAAGGAAGCTCTGGAGCGCGACGTGGGAGCCCTGATGGGCGTCCACAGAGCTCCCTGCTCTACTTTCATGCAGGAAGGCAGCCTGGCCCTGCTGGAGGCTGGCACCCTGCAGGTACGTTACCTAACACTGGGCAGCTCAGGGCAGCGCCTCCAGAGGAGCCTGCTTTGCTCAGAAGAGCATCCTCTGAGGCATCCCTGCCTGTTTTTGGCCATGGGGATGGACCGGAGAGTTCCCTGCTGGGACCAGCATCAGAAAATCCTCTGCCCAGTTGCAAGGGAGCAGCATCTTTGGGAACAGGATTCTGCTTTCAGCTGTCTTTGCCTCTGCGCAGTTATCACGAGCACCTCAGTGGCTGACTGCGGGCTGAGCCCTCAAACAGTGCAGCAAAAGCATCAGCAGGGAGCAGGGGGTGCAGGGGCAGCTCAGCAGGGACGGGGCCTCCTGCAGCCAGGAGCAGAGCTGGTCTGGGGCGCTTTGATCAGCGCTTTCTACTTTGCAGCTGCTTGGAAAAGAACCTAGCACCGTCTGCCTTCCCTCTTTCCTGCCTTTTCTTCATTCCTGATCTTTCTTCAGACCTGGAAGGGATGGCTGAAAAGAAAGTTGTTACACAACTTGCTGTTGTCAGCTCTGCTAGGATGTGCTAGCCAAAGCCTGTGCTGCGCTGTCTGTGAGATGTTCCCAGGCTGCAGAAACCGTGCTGTTCCTCCCCAGCCAGCCAAACCTGCAGAGAGCTGCTGGTGAGCAGGGAGGGAGGAAGGGATGAGGAGCCCCAGCTTTCTGCTGGGCCACGGGCAGGAGAGTTGGGTTGAGACACGGCACTGGAGCCACTCTCAAATTGTGCTCTGGGGCCGAATTCGTTACAGATGAGTGAATGAATGAATTAATTGCACTGGAGGGGGTTCACGTGTCCAGGTGTCCCAGGCAGAAGGACTGGGTGGTTACACCGCTCAGGGCAAGAGCTGCCCGTCAGTGCTGAGGGTTGAAGTGTCGGCAGTGATGCTCGAAGTGTTTCCATTGTGGGCGTTTTTTTGCTCAATGTCCTTTCATTGAAAGGATCTGAACAATTCAACACCTCCCATCACAAGTCTGTAGCAAAGCCGCAGCGATGCCCTTTCTCCTCTGTCCCCCTCTGTTCTCTAAAAGATGCTCTGAGCAAGTGCTGGGCCCGCTCAGGTAGCAGTGGCTGTGCTGGGAGCTGTGTGCGGCAGAGGAGAGGGATGGTTTTCATCATTTACAAAGGGAAATCTCCCCCAGACAGGCGTGTGCAGCGCTGTCCTTCCCAGCCCCGGTAACGCGGGCTCCTGCGGGGCCCGGAGGTCTCCCCGCGGTGGCTGGGGAGAGCTGGCAGCTGGCTCGCTCGCTGTTGAGCCATGCCGCTCTTCCTGCCGCCTCTCAACCCCGTCGTGTTTTTTCCCTTTCAGATTTTCCGGCGAGCCGACAAGAACGGTGAGTGCTTTGTTCTGCCGCCGCCTCCCCCTCGCAGCCTGGCTCCGGGCGAAGCAGCAGCCCTTCCCCGCCGAGAGGCTCGCTGCAAGAGCAAAGGACGAGGGCAGGCAGCTCTCTGCCTGGAAGAAAAACGCCTTTCTGCTCTGCCTGCTGGAGGAAACACCGGCCGGGGGCTGGGAGGGGGCTCCCCAGCATCACCACCTGTGTGTCATGGGGGGCAGAGCCTCCCGGTGCTGGGTGCTGCTCGGTGGGGCCAGCAGCGGGAGGGAGGGCAGAGCAGGCTGTGCAGCACGGCTGGCTGGGCTCTGGCAGGCTTTTTCTCCACCCCTTGCAGGACTGTTTTGGTCTCTGCCCCCTGTTTGGGTGACCTGCTGGAGTCCCTGGTGTCTGAGAGTTGGGCTCTGTTATATTTGACACCTGGAAACCGGCAAGTCCAACATCACAAGGCATTTCTCTGAGCCTTCCTCCCACTGGGCTCTTCTGGGAGATTGCAGATTCCAGGAGCCACTTTTATTGCAGAGCAGAATGCAGCTCAGGAGCTGAAGTTCTCCACACATGGGAAAGGGGAAGCTCATGAGTCAACCGAGAGATTTTCTTTCCCTTAAAGATCTGACACCGTCCTCACTGTTCTGTGTATAATAGCTCTGTGCTGGGGAGAGCTAAAGGGAAAGCCTGCCTGGAATGTCACTGAAGTACAGAGTGTCTGGATGTGTTTCTGAAAATGCTACAAAGGGGTCATTTGGAAGGGTTGGAGTGGCTGAAATGCCTGCCTGGCAGTACCCGCACTGCTTGCCAGCCTTCCTAGGTGTTTGGTGGGGATGCTCTGGCTGGTGGGACATGCTTTCAATGAGATCTCTGCTCTAATTATTATGCACAACACGCCCAACCATCCCACGCTGCTGGTAAAGAGGCTGCTGGGAGGATCGCTGGGGCTTGTACGCGTCTTTCTGCAGATATATAATTATTCTTCCCTTTTGTTTAAATGCAGATGATGGGAAACTGTCATTTGAGGAGTTCAAGAACTATTTCGCTGATGGGATCCTGAGCTCGGAGGAGCTGTGGGAGTTGTTCAGTGGCATTGACAGGCGTCATTCAGAGTAAGTACCACGGTGGTGCAGAGGAGAGGAGATGAAGGAGGATATAAAACTGCCTGACTGTAGATGGAGGACGTTCGGAGGCGGGTGCAATAAATAGTCAGGGTGAGATAAACCTACCTCTTGTAACACGCAGATGTTAAAACCCATTAAACACCGGGTACAAGTATTGCTGGTGAGAGAAGCCAGACATTTTGAGAACAGGCGTTATCAGATTTACTGTAGTGCTATAAAAGCAAGCATCCATTTAAAATCACATTATGTTGGTTTGAAAAACGTATTCCAGAAATACACAGCCCTACGGAGCAGGTTGTGTATCTGCAGGAGGAGCATGTGGTGGTGTGAGGACGATGAACAGACAGCTATCTCGGCGGTTGCTGACACAGGGAACTCGTTTTCACTTATGTAAGAACTTCTTTCCACCAGAAATGGGCCTTATGAGTGTCGGTGTAACTGTGAATTTAGGCCAGCTTCTTTAAAAACAGAAATGAATTGCACTTAGCTCTTGGTTGCTGTAGATTGGGGCTACCCAGAGAAATCTGTTGGGCTTTCTAGAGAAATCTGCTGGGCTTGGCTGGCTTTGTCCCAGTCGTTCAGAGATCAGCGTGGCCTCGCTGGGGATCCTCTGCCCTGCCTGCTGCTGAAACTAAGGGTGTTTTGGCCCTGGCAGGAGCCGGCCTTTGATTGTCTGTCTCGTTGGGCTCGTTGGATGCAGGCAGCAGGAGGTGCCCTGCCAACACCTCCTCGTCCTCCTGGAGGTCCCAGGGGTTTAGCAGAGAGCTGTCACCTCTGTGTGAACGCTCCTTCCATCGAGCTTCACTTTGGGGTGACTCTGGTGACCACAGGAAGCAGACTGCACGGAGCAGGGGCTTTACCTGGATGCCAAACATCTCCTGGTTCCCTGCTGTGTTCCAGTCGGGTTCCTCCACCCGTCCTGAGCAACAAAACAGGGCTGTCAGAAGGCACACGAGTGGCACCACGGAGCCTTGCTAATGCCGCCACAGCCCGCGGCAGCTCTGCCCAACCTCAGCCCCTCTGCTTGGGGTTGGGCAGGGCGCTGAGGCACCCTCCCAGCTGGCTGGGGTGTGTGGCAGCAGGTGCCAGCCCAGCCCCGAGCTGCCCCGTGTGCTCTGTGCCCCCGTGTCCCCAGCAGCACGCCCTCTCCAAGCGCCGTGCGTGGCCCTGGCTGCGGCGGTGCTCCCTGCATGACGGCGCGGTAGCTATGACAACGTGGCAGCATTGAGCTGGTGACATCTATTAGCAGGGCATGACCACTGTGGTTTTGATCCCTTTTTGCTGTGAAGAACAGAAGGGACCTCGCAGACAGAGCTGGTTTCCAAATTTGTGTGTTCTGGGACTTCAAGGCCGCGTAGGAGGCCCCCAGCCCCACGAGGATGCTCTCGTTTCTGCAGGAGCAGGCTGGAAGGCCCGGCCGTGAGGCTGTTTCAGGGATGCTCCCTGTTTGTGTCCCAGGCTGGTACGTGACCCACACGCAGGGAATGGTGTGAGCGGCTGAGAGAGGGATGGATTTGGGGTTGTGGCTGCAGGGAGCTGTGCACGATCGCTCCAGCCTGACCCCCAGCTGGTGAAGGAGGAGGGGGGGACATGTCCTGGAGCAGGAGCCTGGCTCTCACTGCCTGCTGAGAGGCATCTCGTCCCCTGCAGACACGTTTCTCAGAGTGCTGTCATCCTGACTGGGAGCTGTGTGCCCGCCAGGCTCAGGGACTTCAAGACAGGTTTGTCCCCAGGGAGATCCTGCCCAGAGGCTGCCGTGTCTCCCCTGGGCCACCTCCTCTGGTGTCACACACAGCACAGCCTGCCAGGAGTTGGCGTCAGCTTTTGCTCCAGGCTGGGTTTGGCCTTGCGCTGATCCGTGGCATTCGCTGTCACACGCGTGGCACAGAGACTCTGCCTGGGGCAGGCAAGCAGCCTTGGCTCTGGGCAGCCTCGGGATGCGTCGAGTGGTTCATCATTTTGCTGAGCTTGCCAAAGACTTCAGGGCTGTAAGGGGTTGTGCTCTGTGTTTGTATAAAGAGGGGACCAAAAAGTGTGCACAAGGCTGTGTGCAGAGCCACTGCACAGCACAGGCAGCAGAAATCAGGCAGCGTTCAATGTGCTGGACCAAAGAAAGCTTCCTGTGGCTCTGCTCTGGAGCTGGGCTTTGTCATTTGTGTTTGGGGTGCTCAGGGGGACCTTCCCCTTAGGGCAAACTTGTGGCTCCTAAAGGCTGTGCTTGTACCCCGGCCATCCCCTCAGCAGAACCCTCCTCCAGGGCTGCCTGCTTGCTCCGTGCTTGCAGGGACCCTTGAGGTGCTGTAAAACCCCCGGCGTGGTGGTTGTCCACACCACTGCTTGTGGAGGGGCTGTGAGCACGGGGAAGGACGCAAGGAGAGCCAAGCTGTGCTGGGCCAGGGCTCTGCCAGTATCTTTCTGCCAGCAGTGTGCACAGAGGGTGCTTAACAAGACCACGTAGGAAGCACCTTCACCCTCACAGCTTCTAGTGGCCACTGGTTTGGAACTTTCTTGACAAGACCACCAGCTCCCGTAGTTCTCTGCTCCACAAATCTGTCTAATTTTGTTCTAAAACCGTTTAGGCTTTCGGCTTCAACCACATAGGCTGCAAGCGAGTTCCACAGTGGAGCTGTGTAGCATAAACTGATTTTCCTTCGGTGTGTTTTAATGCTGGTGTCTGCCAACCATGTGGGATACTCTGCAGGTCGTTACGAGAGGCACTGCGAGGTGCTCAGTGAAGCCTTCTCCCTGCAGATGCTGTGATGGCTTTGGGCTTTATGGAAGGAAAAAATGTTCCATTACTGAGCAGAGCACATTCAAACAGTCTGCTTGTGTCTGAAATCAAAGGCTCAAGGAGCAGTGGTGGGAAGAGACCTTCAGAAGGCTCCAGGTCAACCTGCTGCCGGTGTGCTGCTTAAACGTGAGTTCAGCACAGGCATGGGCAGCTCTGCAAACATGCCCAGTGTTCTCCTTTTATGCCCCGGAGCTTTTCTGGTGATGGGAAAGCTTCAGCACTAAGCCAGTGGCTGGGTCTGGCCGTGAGGGTGCTGTGTTCATCAGGTCTGGGTTGAAAAGATTGTTTTCTTGTCAGTGCCAGCCTGACCGAGGGAGACACAGCAACAGAGATTTTTACACCCAGACGTTATCCGTGCCTGAGTAATGGAGTGCTGCCCAGACACATCCCGACTCTCTTTCATCACTGCGAGACTGCATCTGCTCCTCTGGCTCACAGAGCTGACATCTGTGAAGATTAATATTTTAGAGGTCTCATACATTATTCGTTCTCCATCCAGAGAGGCCGTAGCACCACGCTTTCCTCCCCTCTCCTCTGTCCTTCCCGTCAGGTCGTGCTCCACCTCCTGTTTGTTCTGGCGCTGGGGCAGGGTGCTGGCAGCCCGTGTGTTTAGCCACCTCCGTAAGGTTTGGTTCTATTTTGAGCTGGTGGAATAAAACCTGAAGTGTAGCCCAGCATATCTTCGGTGGTCTGGGTGGTGGGAATAGTAAAGCTTGTCAGAATGTTCCCTGTAACGTCTTTGAATCCAAAATGTTTAAACGATTTTGTTTAAAATTTTATATTTCCCCATGAGACTTCTTTTTCCTGCAGTTCTCAAAATTATTCCATTTTGGCTTTAAAATATCTCCTTATTTTAATTCTTTGACATTTAAAAGATGATGTTCCACGTTGAAACCAAATGCAACTTCTCATTGTGATTGGGTCCAACCGCCAGGTTCGCTGTTTGGTTTTGCTTGTCAGAAAGCACAGTGCTCAATCTGGCGCTGGAGCAGAACAGAAAGCTGCGTCTCCCGGGGAGAAGGCATTTTCATCCACCACAACTTCTGGGAGAGGAAAGACAAATGTTTTGGGAAGGGGTGAAAAAGCTCCGCTGCCGCAGAAGGGCCTTGGGAGAACCAACACGCGGCCCGCAGCCTCCCTGGGCCTCTCTGTGGCAGCCCCCAGCCCGGGCTCCGCGTCCTCTCCCAGGCACCTCAGCACAGGGGCTGGGGGCAGCGTCGCAGAGACCCCGCTCCGAAGGTGTCAGCACCGAGCTGCGAGGTGTGCAGCTGGGCGCTCGCTGCTCTTGGTGTCAGCTGCTGCAGTCTGCCCCGGGAGGTGTCATGTAGTCCCCGTGGAGCTTTCTGTGCTGCATCTCCTGGGAACGGTTAGAAAAATGAGGGTCAGAAAATCCTCCTTTGGGTGAGAGGGAGCGGTCAGAGGGGAGTGACAGGAGGCTGGGTACGGGCTGCTGGGAGCCTGAGGCTCTGAGCTTGAGCCGCGAGTGAAAGATTTTGGGTTTCAGTAGAAGCACTGACCTTCTACTTTAAAAACAAACAATCTCAGAGGAAATAACCTCAGTCCTTTGGTGCTGTGGAAGAATGGTTGTGTAAACTGTCCTCCTGTCTTTGGTCACATCCTTGGTGTCACAGCATCAGCCAGTCTTTCAGCTCTGGAGAGCAACTGCACCGCCTGAGAGTGCGGTGTGAGGGTTTGGGAGCCAGACCTGTGATCACAGCGGAGGTTTCCAACCTGAGCATTAAATGATAAAAAATAAATAAAAAAATCCCATCTGCGTTGCCGAAGCTGATTGATGTTTTCTTGCATAAATTCCAGGCGCATTCTGACAAAATCCTAACAACATAATGATGACAAGATCCTCCATCATCAGTTCAAGCTTAATTACAGTTAATCAGAGGTTTGAGCACAGTCAAAATAGAGCGATGTGGAAATGCGGAGCGTCTCAGGATAAGCGCTTTGGAGACAGAGGGTGCCTCTGCGGTGACAGGAGGGCAGAGGGAGGGGCAGAGGGAAGCCTCTTGCACCCTTGCAGTCCTGTGAAGGGCTCAGGATTTGGCCCGCAGGATCTCTGCGTTAGCTCCTCCTGCTTTCTGGTGTGAGAGAGCTGCTGGTGGCATTACAACGATGCTGTTGGTACTGATGCTTTCGTGCTGTGCTCTGTTCGGACCGAGCCACGTTGTGCCCCGGGAGCTGATGTTTCAGCACTGACCTGGGAAGATCCGGGTGTGATTCTGCACTTGTGTGGGCAGGGGCAGGGGGGGCAGGACCCGGGAAGGGGCTGGGCTGGGCAGGGAGCGGGTCTCCTGCTGCAGGAGGCTGGGTTTGCCACGGGATCTTGGTGATGGGCTCAACATTTACTCCTTCAGTGTTCTAGTGATTAATTAGCTACTGTTCGCTTTACGTACCGAAAAGAGAAGCTACAAAGAGCTACCAGCAGTCTCTGGCCTCTCCTTCCAAGCCACAGCGTGGGTGCTGCCAGCAGCTCTCTGACACACGGGCACCTGGATGCCCAGGTTGGGGTCTGGGCAGTGCTCTCAGCTGGCGGCCCCTTCTCATTCCTGCTGGAACTTTTCCCAGCTCCAGGTTCTTACTGGGGACAGACGCAGATGCTGGGGTAATGTATGTGCTAGGTATGCGCCTGCGTTTTGCTAACATGGGTCCACAGCTCTGCTTTGGCAGGCTGTGCCTATTTCTTGGACGGGGACCAGTGGCTGCAGTTACTCCTCTGGGGCACGGGTGCTGCGGTGCGTGCCGAGCCTCTTGTGCCACTGCAGCAGCAGGGCACTTCAGTGGCTCTGCAGGCTCCAGGCAGCTTTCAGGATTATGTGGAACAAATTAAGAAGGAGCAGGACGTTTTTGCAATGTAAATTTATGCTTCAAACCCCAGTCCTCCTTGCGGAGCTGTGGTTGGATGCACGGAGCTGCTTAGAGATGGGATCAGCAAAGTTTGACAGAGTGGAATTGGCAGATGAAGGGGCGTTGGTTTTGTTGATTATCTGTGTAGTTTCTCAAGGGAAATGCTATTTTTTATTCTCATCAAACACTGTCTGCAGTGCCAGGACAGTGCACCAGATCCCCGCCTTAGTCAGCTCCTACAGTAGGTGTTTGAAGCGGAGGAGCCAAATCCCACCCCAAATCCCACCCCAAAACTGTCTCCCATGCCTAAGCAGGGGGCTGTGGGGACCCCTCACACCGACAGGGGTTGGGTTTGCTTCTCAGGTGCAGCTGCTTTAACACATCTAGCTGCTGTTCCTCGCCACCCAGTACTTCCCCTCCCAGCACCCCAAATTTGGGTTCTCCAGCAAGTTGTAGGTGGGGAGCATCCTCCCAGGTCAGTGCCCTCCCCTGGGACACCCGCTCACCGCCAGTCCCAGCGTTTCACTGCCCACCCTGGCCTCTGGTGGCTGTGCGAGCTCCGGGGTGCCCCAGCGGACGGCTCTGCTTGCAGTAGAAGCGGTGCCGAGGTGTTGTGTGCCCTGTAAGGAGTGGGCAAACCTAAAATTTGAGCTGTCAGATCAGAAATGAGAGGCTTCGTGGGTGGCCTTGCCCAGCAGGGTTTGCACGTTTTGCTAATTTGAAGCACTGCGTGGTGTTGAACCGTGCAGTGGAAGCTCAGCAGGAAGGCAGACCCAGGACCATCCCTGGCAGCGCTCACACGAGCAGCGGGGCCGCGTCCTCGTGCTTGGAGCCCAGCGAGCTGCAGGCATCTCCAGGTCCTCTGCACGTGATGGAGCTTCAGCGTTTAAAAATCTCCTTCGTGCTGCCTTCTACTTTCCCAATGAGAAATACAAATGGCTGCAGACACTGAGGGGATTCTGAGACCAGAATTTCTGGAGGGGAGGCTGATGTGAGTGAGTGCCACCCTGGGGCATTTTCCCTGGAGGCCGTGCAGGTGATGCGAGGCATCAGCAAACCTCTGCTTCTGCCCGCAGTCCCCTCGTGACAGCCGGTAGGTGTTTCTCGGTGCTTCCTCCACCCTCTCCACCCCAGCTGTGCCTTTGTTAGCACGAGGAAGGAGCTCAGCCCTCTGCCTGCAGTGCTTGCTAGGCCTCGCAGAGCTGCAGGCGCGGGGTGATGAGGCTGGGCTGGGGGGGCTGTTCTGCCACGACCCCGTTGGCACTAACGGGACAGCCTCCCTGCCTACCTGGACCTGCTGGCTTTTCTGCAGGATTCCTGCCTTACCTGGCATCAGGGAGGCTCGGGGATCTGACCAGCTTTTCAGCGTGTGTGTTTTGTTCTTTTCTTTATCGTGTTTGCTGTCTGCAGGTCCTGTGGAGCTCCAAGCCTTGCAGGATGCCAGCCTCGGTTCTGGCTGCCTCAGAGGGGCAGGAGGGTGAAGCCCCTCTGGCTTTTGGAACCCAGAACAGAGTCTGTCAGAAGAACAACCCCTCTCCTGGACTATTTGCAGCTGTGAAACTTCCCCTGCCCCCAGAGGGCTGAAGGCAGCTCCAGGGCCCCTTGGCAGCAGCTGCAGCTGGGGCAGAGAGGCCAGGAGGGGGACTGCTGCCATGAGGAGAGGATGGGGCTGAGACAGGAGGGGGGTGTCCTCGCTGAGCACGTTGTGACCTGTGGGGAAAGAGGTGCTGCAGCAGCAGCTCTTGGGTCTTGTCAGCTCCAGGACCCAGAGCTCTTTATTTTAAAAACAGAGCTTTTAAAATCGCACTGGGGGGCTCCAGGCAAGCCTCCGAGACCCTACTCACCACAGCTCTTTCTCCCAGCCCAGCCCCACCATCTAACAGTGTTTTTTTTTCTTGCAGCAACGTGGACACAGAGAAGCTGTGTGGTAAGTCGGCCGACCTTCCTGCTCAGGGTGGGCTTTGTCTCCTGCGGGTCCGCAGCGGGGTTTGTGCCCACCTGGGCAGGGCAGGGCAGGGCTGGGTGGTTCAGGGGCTCTGACCCTGTGTGTGAATCCCTCCGGGAGGGTGTCCTAGGGCATCTGTGCTTTCCTCCAGGGAGGAGAGGTTTTGTCATGGGAGTAGAGGGCTCTTCTCATGCCAGGCAGGAGGTGTGACCCCTGGGAGAGGGACGGGAGTGCCCCGAGCAGTGCTGGGGGCAGCTGGCACAGGGGAGGCTGGGAAGGAGCTGCTCTGGGAGCTCACTGTTGCCTTCTCTCCCACTTCAGATTATTTCTCAGCATATCTTGGAGAGTACAGGAACGTGCTTTCTGCTCTGGAAACGCTCAACTCTGCTGTCCTGGCAGCCATGGACAAAACCAAGCTGGTAAGGATGGGGCAGGAGGGCAATGGGGCATCTGGGGGGTACCAGAGCTGTGGTGAGCTCAGCCCTCATTTAGTGTTATCCTTGGGCTGCAGGGGCCACAACCGTGGTGCCTCCCGGGTGCAGCGGGTTGCCTGCAGCAGGGAGATGTGAGGTGGGTGGGCTACACGAGGGTCGGTCCTGCTGCAGGCAGCTGGAGCTCCTCGCAGCCCTTGCTCCTGCCCGCGGGGACAGGAGTTGCTGTAGGGACAGGGAAAGTGCCAAACGGTCAGAAGGAAAGGAACGGTGAAATTCAGACTGCCAGCTCCGTGCTGTGCCCATCCCTGCTGCGAATGCCTTCCCCCCTCCTGCAGCTCGTGCCGACGGGAGGCAGATCTGAGGCTGCTAATTAGGCTGAGCAGCGTCCTGCCTCGTGAGCCTTCCTGCACACTGCAGGGCAGGGGCTGTGGCGCCCAGCACTGCAGCTGACGTACAGCTGTGGGAAGGGCTGCAACCCCCGTGGGTACAAGGGTCTTGTTCTCATCTGGAGCCTGTGAAATGGCTCAGCTTTGTGTCTGGGTCTTGCTCTGTTTCGTGGCCTGTGGGAAGGGCTGGCCCCTTTCTTTCCCTTGCATCTGACTGATGCTCAGCGTGAGGCGGACGAACGGCACGTGGCTGCGGGAGCAGGAACACGAGCAGGACCTTGCACTGATCGGCATGGCCCTGGAGCAGCAGGGCTCTTGTGGCTGAAGCATGAGGTGCCCGAGCAGCTCTTCTCTGCTTGGCAGAGGTAGGAGAAGGATCAGCGGGTCTGAGCAACACTCCGCGTGCCCCTCTCTCAGCAGGCAGGTGAGGGTATGGAGGCTGCAGCCCCAGCCCTGCCTGCATCACCTGCACCTCCTTTGTGCTGCGCTGGGCCAAAAGGCCAGTTCGTGAGGCTGTGGCAGGCAGCAGGTGAGGCTCTGTGCTGTGCTAGTGCTGCTGCGGGCGGCAGAGCCAGTGTGGCCCTGCCCGGCAGGGCGGCTGCAGCTCTCTGCTGGCTCTGACTTTGGTAAGAATCGGCCTCAGTTCCAGGCAGGGCGAGTGAAGCACCCACAGCTCGAGCTGTCCTGAACCTCACGAGAGGAAGTTTGGACTGAAATTTTCCATGTACCTGCTGGGAGCTGTGTGCTTCTGGGGGAGTTAGGGCAAGGCTGAGTTGGCCATGGCAAGGAAGGTGAATGGGGAAGATGGGCAGCTGCCCGCTGAGCAGAGGGACGAGGAGGGCCGGTCCTGCTGCTGGCTCTGCCCAGCAGCCTCAGTGGTGTTTGCATCTCTGTGAAGTCACCGGGGATGCTGCCCCCTGAACCTCCCTCTGGCCGTATCCAGCCTCAGCAGCGTCTCCCTGTACAAGTTTATTAAGTGCAAGTCCAGAGGGAGAATGATTCATCTGGAGGGGGCCGTGCTTTATTTGAGTTCTTTTCTGCCTTATTTATATATTTATTTATTTTAGTAACGAATTCATTGTATATTCATGCGTTTCTCCAAAGTACAGCACAATTACTGTCTGCTGCGCAGTGCTGGCGTGATGTATTCATTCACTTAATGCTTCCTGGTGTAAACATCCCAGAGAGCTCCGTTATAATTACACATCGCTCTGCAGCCGTGTTCAGCACGTACCTTGAACTAATCATTTTCTTAAATTAACTTCTCATTTTTATCTCCCGGCCCTTTCCTTGGGCTTGAGGAAAGACAAAACAACCTGTGCTGGGCTTGTTGTTTAAGTTGTAAGACCTTGGATGCAGCTGCTAGGAAATGGGGCTGGGCAGGGACTTCTGGCAAGGGGAAAGCCGGTTTCCCCTACTGAAACAGATTTCTGTGGGGTTGTTTTCCCACCTGTGGTGGCTCTGCCCAGAGCTAGGAAGAGGAGGACAGGGCGGGCAGGCACTTGCAGCATGGCTCTCACCCGTGGCTCAGCCCCAAGCTCCTGGGTGTCCCGGGGCAGGTGCTGACCCTCCCAGGGTGCTCCTGCACTTCCCTGCTCAGCCGGTCTCCGCACCAGGGAGGAGGCAGGAGAAGGGCAACGCTATGGCTCTGTAGCCATGGCTTGTGCTGGAGCTGTGGGAAATCTGTCGCTGCTGGAGGCTGGCAGAGATAAAATGCTGCTTTCTTACCTGCTGTGACCTGGATGCATACCCATGTTTGTATTTCCAGGTGGGGATTGGTTTTGGGCTATTCTGGGATTATAGGGTTGGATGGGAAGATTTTAGACAAAGCTCACACCGCTCAGAGCCAGAGCAGAGGGCAGAGGTTTCCCATCTTACGTGCCTGCCTGCCAGTTCTGTTAATTCAGACATCCCTAACGGCCCTGGGGCTGAGGACCAAGAGCTGCGGTTTGGCAGAGGAAACCTCACCCTGGGGGTTGTGCTGGAGGCACAGCAGCACCAGGAGCTGAGCAGGCTGGACGGGATCTGCCCACTGGCGTGGCCCTCTCCATAAAGCTCTGCTTACACAGCAGGGCTGCGGGGTCAGCAGAAGATAATTTTCAGTCCCTGCCTGGTTTTCCCCAGGCTGTATTTAAGAGAGCTTCCTGTGGTGCCCAAGGAGGCAGCGATACCCCTACCAGCCAGAGGAAGAAGGGCACATCGAGTGTGACCTGGGGCTCACCAGTTAAACCATGGCACCTCCTGCTTAGAGCACGATCTGCCTCCAGCTCCTTCCTTCTGCTGCTGGAGGGCTGCTCTCCCCTGCACCCTCCAGGCACTTACTGCGCAGCTGTAGAAGGTCTCGTGTACGTACGAGCCCACTTTACAAGATGAAAACCAAACAGAGCATGAGATGCTTTGTTAGCAGAAGGAAAGCACGCCTCATGGGAGCTGTGCTTGGCACGCTCAGACGGCGCTAGGACAGTGCTGCAGCAGGTGAGGCAGGGAAACACAGGAAACCAGAGCTCGGGGGGAGTACGCTGAGGCCGTGCTGGGAGCTGTGGTTTGGAGTCGGTGCCACTGGAAGGACTTCCAGTGTCCGCGATTCCCACCTTGCTGCAGGCCAGGAGACCTGGTGTGGCTCAGAGAGGGCTCGGTGCCCTCTGCCAGGCTGCTCGGTCCTGTGCCCGTAGCACACCTTGTTGCCCCAGCAGCCTGCAAAGCGTGGGGAGTGGAAGCCAGGTTGATCCTCACCGCCTCCGAGGCTGCGGTTCCTGCAGGAAACGGTGTTTGTGCAGGGCAGCAAACCTGCACGTCGCTTCTTGTGGGTCCACGGTTGGCAGAACAAAAGCAAATTGTCAGTGGGTTGTGCCCATTCTTCAGTGCTGGAAATGTGGCAAAGGAAGATGCCTCTTCAAGAAGAGGTGCTTTTTTTTTCATTTTTTACCAAATTCCATCATTTCCTTATGCATTTTTAAAATACAACTGCTGCTAGCTATGCTAAATATGCTAAATGCAGCCTTTTTCTGTGGCTACACTTTGCGGTTACAGTGTCATAGTTTCAGAGTAAGGAGCAGACTATGGAAATACCTCGGGAAGCAGTCTGATATTTCTCTCAGGAACCCAAGTGCTAGAATCTTCTCGTTCCCCAGCTTGCCGTCGCTGCACGCTAAGCTATAAATACCTCTCCAAGTCAGATGCTCTTACGTCTCCATTGGCAGGAATTGTGTGTTCACCTATTCCGTTCTGTGAACATCATCATAGGAAACTAATAAAACCCCGCAAAGCACAATTGCAGCAGCTCTTGGCAGCTTGGGGATTTTCAGTTGGGTCAACAGAGCAGAAATACCTCTCTGCAACCAGAAGAACTCCTCTTGTGTCCGCCGAGTTATTTACAGCTTTCCAGGAGTCTTTGCCGTCAGCAAGAAACGCGGTGTGCTCGCTGAGACACAACCTTATTGAGACTCTGTTTCTGCAGTACCTGACGGGTTTTGCTCTGCCCCCAAGGTGCAGGCTGAAGCAGAGAGGAGTGTATTTGCAGTCACTTCATTCCCTCCCCCAGCGTGCAATCACCCAGGTTGGTGCAGAGGCAGGGAAACAGCGTTTGAAGGGCACTGAGATGCCTCCTGTGACCCGAGCGCAGGGCGCACGGTGCTTGGTGCTGAGCGCAGGCGGCGTGGAGGTGCTGGGTGAAGGTGGGCTGCCCGGCCACAGAGGGGTCTCGCAGGGCAGACGTGCCCCATGCTGGGGACTGCTGCTTCCTGCTGCGTTCCTGAGAGCTCTGCGGGGCTCCTGAGAAGTTATTTCCAGCCTTCTCTCTGCTGGTGGGCTGAGCAAGGCGCGGGAGGGAGCTGCCTTGTTGGTGCAATGCCCGTCTGAAACAGCACATCCCCGTGGGACCCGGCTTTGCCTGTGCAAAGTGGTCGGAGGTGCCTGGGAGGAGCTCTGGGCAGGGATCAGCGTGGGCTGGAGCCTCCAGAAACATCAGGCAGGAGCCTGAGCTCCTCTGTGTGCAGCTGAGGGTGAGCTTGTGGGGGCAGCCCAGACCTCTCAGCATGAGGCACCCAGCATGGGACCTCCCAGGGGGTGCTGCCACCTCCCCAGTGCCGTTCCAGGCAGGGGGAATCGCTTCCCCCGAGCCAGGCCAGGCAGCAGGGGTTTCTCTTTTGCAGAGCTGCAGGAGGAACAGGGTCTCCTTCGGGCTGCTGCGTGCAGCTTTGGGAGCAGACAGCCCAGGCTGTGCCAGCCCCCGCCTGCGGGGAGATGCTGGGGTAGGGACAGAGGCACTGCGGTAGTCTGCAAAGGGCTCTCCCTGCAGAGAGAGGGGCAGTGGCAGCAAATTCAGCCCAATTCCATCCTGGAAACAAAACGGACTGTGCCATTAAAAAATAAAAGGTGGATGGAAACCGACACACAGCACAGGCTGCGCTGAGAGCTGCTCGCTCACCTGGGTGGGGAGCAGTGGGCTGTCGGCGCTCTGCAGACGAGCATCCTCGCCACTTCCAAGGCCAGGAGCTGGCGTTCCTGTAGCCCTGCAAGGACGCGTCCCCAAACGGAGCTGTTCCCAGCAGCTGTTTGCAGCTTCAGGTGGGATGGCTGCTGCGTTCGGATGCGCCTGTGCGTTGGGGTAATTATGGCAACGGCTTCGTTTCTCCCACGCAGGCGTTGAGCCTGTCCCCCGGGGCAGGGGCTGCCGGCTCCGTGCCACCCCTGTCCCCAGAGACGCTGCCTTTGAGCCCTAGCCCGAGGAGTGGGGCAGCCCCAGGTGGGGCCTGGGCCTTGCACCGCGTTTTTGGCACCGGTGTTGAGAGTTTCAGTCCAAGTGCTTTTACGCAGAACTTCTGGAATTTGGGATCCTCGGTTCTTCTGCCTGTTGGAGAGAAAACAGGATAGGAATTGGAAGTATTTGACCTTAATAAAGCAGTCACATCACTGGAGGCTGTCTTACAGAGGGGAGAGGGAGCTCGCAGTGCCTGGCGCAGGGGTGACAGCCTGGCTCTTGCGGTGGTGGGGGTGGCTCAGGTCTGGTCTGCCTGGTGGTGTCCTCGAGGAAAGGGGTGGTCCCCTGCTGCTGGATGTTCCTGCAGAGCAGCCAGCTCTCCTGCATCAGGTGGAGACTCTCTCCGTGGCCTCCCACCACCCAGCCGTGTCTCTGGGAATGCTCACAGCACTGCCTGTGGCTTCTCTGTCCCTCAAGTCTTAAACGCTGGGCACGGGGGCTGGCCTCAGGGTGCTGGCATGCACTTCCCAGCTGCTCCCCTTGGCCTCCTCCTTACCTTGCCTGGCCGTGTGCTGAGCTGAGGCACCTCGCTAAAGGCACAGCAAGGAGCAGGGAGCTCTCTCGTGACAGTGCAGTGAGATCTGCCCGCTGCCCAGAGCGCCCAGCACACCTTTGTGCCAAAACCTCCAGCAGTGAGCTCAGGTTTCTGCTTTTCATCAGCTCGTGCCCTGTACCCGGTGCCGAGCTGCTGCGGTGTCAAGGTGAGGAGCCCCCTCCTGGGGCAGAGTTGCTGTCATACAGCACCGTGTAACCTCAGCTCATCCCTCCTGCCCCCTCGGGGCTCCTGCTGCGCTGGCTGCTGTGTGCAGGCAGGGAATTCGTCCCGCTGCACCTCCTCATCCTGCTGCAAAGCCCCTGCCCTGCCCCGAGCCTGCCCGCTGGCACCAGCAGCTGGGGCCTTGTGTCTGTAAGGGCACAGCCCCGTGCAGGTGTGTGAGGGAGCCGAGACGCAGGAGGCACCTGACCTTTCCTCCCCCCTTCCCCGCAGAGGTACGAGACCTCCTCCAAGACGGAGCAGTTCCTGACCCGCTTCCTGCTGCGGGAGACCATGCACCAGCTGCAGTCCCTGCAGGGCTCGCTCGAGTGCGCCGTGGACACCATGGAGGAGCAGGCGGGGAGGGAGAGGTAACGGGGCCCTGGGGGGACAGCGGGGAGCAGGATCTGCCCTTTGCAGCCTCAGCTGGCCCCGCTGAGGACTGGCTCCGGCTGCCCTGTTGTGTTTCATTCCTTCAGGAAGGACGTGAAGAAGTCGGAGAGCTCCGTGGGCCTGAGGTCAGGGAGGCGGTGTGGGCGCAGAGGGCAGAAGAACGTCTGTCTGTCCCCGACGGACCCCTACTCCGGGATGCTGACCACAGGTAGCACCGCCCGGCCAGCCTGGGGCTGTGTGCTTGGGACCTTGTCTGCTGTGGGGTTGGGTCCGGTGTTCCCAGGAACAACAGCCCTGGCCGTGGCAGGATTTCACGTGTCTCCTGGGCAGTGGGGAGAGTTTCAGGAGAAAATAAGTTTCTTGGTTTCGGAGTTCAGAAGCTTTTGCAGTTTTCTGAGCTTGCAGCGAGCCTTCTGCCTTCCCCTGCGCAGGCATTTGCGTCGAAGCTGACAGCCAGTGGATGGCCCAGATCAGCAGGCTCCAGCAGCTCATCGAGAAACTGGAGTGCAAGGTGCGTGGCAGCAGGGGGGGGCTGGGGCCGGGCCCACCTCCCAGCGAGCTGTGCTGGGCTGGGGGTGCCTCTCGTTTCGCTTTGTTACAAACTCCCTGCAGTTAACGATGGTTTTGTGAAATGCAGAGCCCACGCCTGGAGCCCCTGAAGGAGGACGCAGCGAGCAAAGGAAGGGATGAGGTCAGTCGTGGTCCCAGCTCCCTGGCCAGTGACTGGGGAGCACACGGGTTGCCCCTTGCACACCTCCGTGCTCTGGGACGGGTCACCTGCATTTGCTGCCTCTGCTCTGGGTGGGCTCCTTGCCCAAGGCTCACGTGGCTTCTTCGGGGCTTGTGGGTGCTCACAAGCAGTCTGAGGAAGGCAGCCCCCTGCTCGGGAGGGCCCAGACCTCCCGGCTTCTCTCCAAGCCCCTGCAGGCCGTGCACAGCCCCAGCAGAAAGCCCCCAGGGCCCAGGTTCCCCTGTGGGCTGGCAGCGGACACAGGGACATGCAGCAGTCCCTGAGCAGGGCCCTGTCACCAGGTGGAGCACAAACCCCTGGGCTGTGCGGGCTCAGGCTGCTGTAACGGGGACGTGCCCAGCTCGGAAGAGGACGGTTTGTGGTCTTGGCTCTGTCCTGGTGGGGCCAGCCCCGTGCTCGTCACCTCCCCGTGCTGCAGCAGGGTGGGAGGAGGGCAGGCGAGGGGACTGGCTCTGCCTGCGGTGCCCCCCCTTGCTGACCGCCTGTCCCCGCAGCACATCCTGGTGGCCAAGAGGCAGATCTCGGTGGCCAAGAGCGGCGTGGAGGAGTTCCGCCAGGCCTTCAGGTCCTACACCGAGGTCACCGCGGGGCAGAGCAGCTGCCTGCAGTAAGTGGGGCAGGGGGCAGGGCTTGCCCAGAAATGGGGGGCCCCGTCAGGGTCATAAGGGCAGACCCGGGGAGAGGGGCCCTGGCTTGGCTTCTCCCCTGTGCCAGCCCTGGGCAGTGAGCAGGGCACAGCCCCTCGTCCCCCACGCTGGGCACAGTGGCACGGGGGTGGGCTGGGCAAGGGATGGGGGGGTTACACCGACAGGAACGGAGGTGGTGTGTGCGTGTCAGAGGGTGCAGCACTGCTCCAGCACTGGAGGACTTGAGAGGAAGGGGGAGAAGCCAGGGGAGAGCTCTTGTCACAGCACTGCCTTATTTAAAATGTGTGCAAGGCTGGTGGGGAGCATCCGGGCCCACCTAGAGCTGCCCCCCCGTGCGAGACCAAGGCTCAGCACCACTGTGGAGCCGGGGCAGGGCTGAGGATGGAGCCCCAGGTTGGGTGCCGTGGTGCAGCGCTGCCAGGCACCCCTGGAGATCGCGCAGCTGCGCGTGGAGAGGCTCTCTCCTCCTCCCACGGGAGGCTTCAAGGCACTCGCGGAGGGAGATGTTCGTCCTGTTCCCATTTCAAGTGTCATCTTTCAGCTCTTCAGCTCCAACCGTACAAAACTGCGTTTTCAGGCCAAACAAAAGGAAGGTCCTTGTTTTGACGTGTGGCAGAGAGGATGATATTTTTTCTCTGGAGCTGACAGGCTTGCCTGGCGTGAGAGCTGCCCGTGTGGCAGCCGGGCTCCCCGGGTGGGCAGAGCTGGGCTGAGCTACAGGAGCTGGTTTGGGTGCGGGGTCCCCTGGAGCAGCCAGCGGCTGCGGCTATGCCCAGAGGTCGCTGCTGCCCCTGGGGGTCCTGGTGTGGGGCTGGCGGGTGGATCTGCACCCCTCGCCCCCAGGTGGCCCCAGCTCAGGGTCGCTCCTGTCCCCGCAGCGTGTCTGCCTGCAAGCTGACGGACGAGGCCTGCTTCATCCTCTACGAGTTCTGGCAGGACGTGACTTCGTGGAGGAGGTTGGAGGCTTTCCTTCTGTGTGGTGGTGGCGGCGGGTCTGGGTGCTCATAGACACGCTGGGGGGTGGCTGAAAGGGCTCCCTTGGGACTCCACGGTGGCCCCGCTCGCCCCCTTCTTGCACAGCCTGTGCTGCTGCTGGCACTGCCCTGCCTGGCACGGAGCCCCAGGGGCATTTGCAGTGGAGATGGGGATGGAAGCCCAGGCAGGGTGGGGGAGCGGGGCAGAACGGGACATCCTGCTCTGGGCAGCACCGTCCCCCTGCGCCGGGGCACAAAAATGCACCTACAACAGAGGGGCACGAGCGAGCCCTGCCCCTGGGGCTGCAGCAGGACGGCCTCCTCACCCCGTGCTGCCCTGACCCTGCCCGCTGCCTTACAGCCACTTGCAGTCCAGCTACAGCAAGAGCTTCCAGCGCGCCATCATCAGCCTGCTGGAGTCCCCGGAGCTGCTGACCACCATGCTCTTCCCAGGTGAGCGGGGCGTGAGGTGCCGGCCGTGCTGCGCTGCTGCTCTGAGGGCGAGCAGGCGCCTCGTCTCACTCCGGGGCAGAAAATTGGCTTGGGGGGGTCACTGAAATCGTGTTTTCTAGCATGTTCTCTGGCCTGGATAGCCAAGCAGCTGGGAGCATGTCCCAGATGGCAGCTGTGCTCGAGCCAGGGCTCAGGCTGCTATCAGTGGGACTCAGCACGCTTCACGCCTCAGTTTTCTTCCCCAGATCCCTGAAACCTCTCTGCAAAGCGCTGCCCCTCCCGGGCCTCTCACAGTGGCTGTGTCCCAGCTTCATTTTGAAGGCTGAGTGGTGCAGAGGCAGGGGGCAGAGCCGGTCAGGGAAGATGCGTGTTCCCTGGGGCAGCAGCAGGAACCTGACCAAGAAGTAAGGAACGGGGGGAGTGTAGAGAGAGACAGGACCACATTGAGCTCCAGCTGAGGGTCTCTTGGGTTTCCTGGCACCACCTGTGGCCGTGGGTTCTGGTGCTCCAGAGCCTGCTGCCTACAGGGGAGCATCAGCTCCTGCTGAGCAGGGGCAGGGGCAGAGCCCTGCCCTCCATCACCCCCAGCATCCACCGCCCCCCCGTGTGATGCCCTCCTGCCTGCCGCCGCCCCCTCAGCCCTCCCCTGTCTCTCCCCAGCATCCTGGTGGATCATGAACAACAACTGACCCCGGCGACCAGCAGCTCCCAGGACGCAGCTGGCAGGCAGAAGGATGCAGAGCCCCCTGCACAGCCACCGCCAGTCGCTAGCGTTTGTCACCTCCGCCTCCCTGCCCTGCGGCTCCTGCCTCGTGCTCGCCTCCCGCAGCCCGGGGGCTGCCTGCCCCTCAGCTCTGGCAGTTCGACCCTTCTGCTCGTTTCGCGTGATTTATTTATTCCTCTTCCTCCTGGTGCCCAGGACAGCGTGCAGGGAGGGGCTGGGGGACGTGGCACGGCAAGGGTGGCTCTGGCCCGCTGTCACAGCCCCGTCCCTCACCCCTCAGAGCCACCCTTGGGGGAGCAGTGGTTTTGTCCGGGGAGCTGGGCTGGCTTGTGCTGTGAAGAGTGTTTTATAGGAGAAAAAAAAAAAAAAGATTCAGCAAAGGCAAGCGGAGTGTGTTTCTGGACAGGACTGCCAGCTGCAGCCTGCACAGCCAGTGCTGGGGATTGGGGCAGCCTGGGTGCACCTCCCCTCCTCCTGTCCCCCCCTTTGTCCTGCAGCTGAGGGACCCAAACCCAGACCGGCACCCAGAGGCTGGGGCTGTTCAGCTGAACGCCCAGCGGGGCAGCTCGGGGCGTGCAAGGAGCCAGGAGAGCCCCTGGGGCTGGAGCAGCACAAAGACTGCCCCATCCCATCCTCGCCTTGCAGAGCCAGGAGCTGCTGTGCTGGTGTGGAGCTGGTGGCACCGAGGGCAAAGGGGGCTGGGCAGGACGGGGGCTCCCTGCAGGGGTCGGGGTCATGAGGAGCATTCAGAGGCTGGGAGCTGCCCGCCAGCACCCTGCCACACCACCACGGGGGGTCACCGAAGCCAGGGTGGGCCTTGGAGGGTGGCAGCAAGCAGGGGCTCCCTGCGTGGGAGGGGGCAGTGGGGTTGGGAGAGAGTTGGCCCCAGCCGCCAGCTCCTGGTTAACTTGGCTCCTGCAGGGCCCTGGGGCCGCGTGCAGCCACCCCCAGCTTTGGGCAGCCCCGGTTCCTGGCCTGGGAAGTTCCACCCAAGCTCCAGGGCCCCCCAGCTGCCAGGACACCCCCAGCCATGGGCAGTGCTGTGCCTTGTCCCTGAGTCCTGCATTTATTTCAGGAGGGTGAGGGCACTGCTGGGATGCTCCCTGCTGCTTCTCTGAGCCCCCCGCACCCCGAGAAGCCAGGCTTTGGGGTCCCCCCACTGCCCCCCAGGTGCTGGCGAGCCTGCAGCAAGGGGTTGGCACTGCAAGCTCCCCCCCAGCACGCTGCAGGCTCCTCTGTGCCCCAAATCAACAACGTGCTTAAAAAAAAGAACACGCTTCAATGCGAAGGGAAAGAGACCCAAAGTTCCCCGGTACCTGACTGACGTCCAGCTCTGCCTGCGCCCCCTGCAGAACCCCCGGCAGCTGCCCGGGCCCCGCCACAAAGCATCGGTCCTTCAAGGAAAGAGGCCTGAGGAGCTGTACGATGAATATAGTCTTTTTATTGACTACTTTTGAGTAGAACAAACTAAATACATCTGTAACAGTTTGGGTTCCTTTATACAGTACATTAAATAAGTTATGCACAGGAATGAAGTAACAAATTCCTATTACAGAATTAAATGTCAAAAAAAAAAATAGAAAACTCACCCCACCAAGTCTTCTTCCCAGGTCTGAATTTCACATTTATCGTTACAATTTATTTTTTTTTTAAAAGCAATCGTTCTAATCATGACCGTTAGTACTTCATTCATTTACACTGGGGTTAATTTTAATACACAGCCAAAGTTGCATGAGAATTATGGAAGACAATCTATTTACAAGCCATTTTCTCCAGCACGGCACCGCGCTCGTTCCTTTCTCAGCCGCTCTGGCAGCGCTTGGCCCCCCCCGGCCCCTCGTGTGCGCACTCAGGGCCGCAGGGACCTGCTGGGACACCACAGCCCCGTGTTGGTACCTGAGGCAGCTCCCAGTTCTCGTGCGTTGTGCTGCGGACACGGGACAGTCCCAGCTGCCACTTGAGAGCTTTCGTGGAAACCAGGAGACTTCGTGGCTTTTTTTTCAAACTGAAACCTCGCCGATGCGGGACTCACCCGCTCTATCCCCCGACAGCAGCTTCCAGAACAACGTTCCCCGAGGGATGAAGCTGGTTCGCTGGGTAACTCGGTTATCCCTGGGCACACCCCTGCCAGCCAGCAGGCAGCCACACCACGGCACACTCGGTGACTATTCATTACATCTCTATTATTCACCTCCAATTGAAAAAGTGATCAAAAATAATTTGGGAATTACTTGCCTCATTGGGCTCCAACCCAGCAATCATACAAAAGCAGTCACGGAAACACAGCTTTGCTGAATAGATGGTTTCCTGGATCCCATTTGCGCACAGCATGTGGGATCAGTGTGCGTCCCCGAGGGCACGCTCCGGTGCCTCCCATCCGCCGCCGACAGCCTCTGAGGGGAGAGCTCCGAGGCTGCGCCGGAGCCGAGCCCCGCAGTAGCTGTTGGCGGGTCAGAGCTCCGCAGGCTGCCCCCGAGCCCTCCCCACGTGCTGACGCAGGGGCTCTGCTCCCTCCTGGGGCGGGCGCTGGGTCCCCGCAGCTTTGGGTTGGGCTCAGGGTGCTGACAAGGTGGGGGAAGCTGCACGGGGCCCCCGGGAGGGCCGCGCATCCCCACGCACCTCCAGCGGGGCCAGGGATCCCCGGGGTGGGTGAGAGCCGGCACAGGGTGCCGAGCCCTGCATCAGTGTGGCCAACGCGCGGGGAGAGAACGGGCTATAAATAATCCACTGCAATCACGCTGGGATCTTTGTGGTTGAAAACACCACCGGTAACTCTCCAACCAACAACTTCCATGCAAAGAAGAAATGCTTTCTGCACAGCAAAATAATGGTAGCCAGGTGGAAAGCGCAATAACCGCCCACAAGGAATCCAGATTTGGTCTGCACATTTGCACTCAGCAAAGGTCCAACCCCGAGTATCACGCAACTGCCTGTCCAGTTACAGCGAGGGATTAAAAACAGGCCCTCCAGCAGTGACCAGCTGTACTTCCCTGGTACTGACATTTGGTTTAGAGCTGTCCTCAGCAGACGTGTCCTCTCCTCAGCCTCCGCAGCCTGGAGCCGCCACCCGCCGCAGGCAGGAGCAGAGAAGCTCAGTTCTCCCCAAGCAGCTACGTATTTGTCATTGCACTAGAGAATGAGATGCTCTTGCTGGAAAATCGGCTCTGGTCTGTTCAAAGCAACAAAGAGCCAGCACGGCTAACTGAGAAACCTTTGTCTGGGAGCAAGATTAAAAAAGAAAAGATGCGTATTATGGAAAAAAGGTAGCTGAATGAGGGGGCAGTTCAGACACCTCAGGAGAAGAGCCTGAGCGCGTTTGACCCTTGAGAACAGGGCTGCTTGGCTGGGCACCGCTCGCTCCACATTTCCTGCCGGCGCTCCGTGGGGGCCGGGTTCCCCTGAGCGAGTGCCCAGACCCCCCGGGTCCCACACGATGCTCTGGTGCGGCCCTTCGGAGAGAGCAGCACGGAGGCACCTTGAGCGAGGCCGACCCAAGTCCTTTATGAGCCCTAAAAAAGGCCGAATGAGATGGCAAAGCCCAAGTGCCGGTGCTCCGGAGGAGGCGGCGTGGATTTGTCAATTGTGCCAAGTGACAGAAGTTTCTGCGGTGTGTTTTTTTTTTCCAACTTAAAAAACAAATAAATCGGGAAAACTAATCAAATGGACTGACCCCAAACTTCCCTTTTAGAGTCCGTTCGTTTCTATTGCTGTCACAGACGCTGGAGTGGAGGATCGAGACGTGGCTGCCGAAGTCTTCTCGAGGGCCGGGCTGGACACGCCGTCGATGGCCTTGGCGGCTGTGGAGCGCCCCGCGGGCAGAGCCAGCGGCTTGCTCTGGCTGTGCAGGCTTTGGCCGCAGATCCGGTGGTGCCTCTCCCAGTCCTTGTGCTGGCAGAAGGAGCCGCAGTACCGGGCGATGTTGCAGCCACTGCAGGTCTCGCTGGCCTTGCGGCCGCAGTTCCAGCAGCTCTGAAAGGACCCAAGACACCACACTTCAGAACGCGTTTCGTTTCCAGAGCTGTAGGACAGTGCTGACTCGACAGCTCTGGAGGGGACGTTCATCCCCCTCTGGCCCAGATTTAGTAATGTTAAGATGAGCAATCCATTTATTCTTGCTATTTCACAGCCCTTTGCCAAGGGTACTAACCCCTACTCCTCTGCCCTACAAAAGCCTGCCAGACTGCGCTGCACACATCCTCTCCCCTAGATCCACCCAAACGCACACAGGAAACAGCAGGCAAGGACTGAAAAACACACCACAGATGCTGCTATTTGGTCTTTTTATTTCCTGTTTTAAGCAGCTCTATTTTGGTACCGCTCCCAGCCAAGCGCTCTCCGCGGGGATTACAGCGCTGCACAGGCACCATTTGCTCTGCACCCTGCCTAGCTGCACAAGAGGTCAGAGCCGGCTAATTTGGAAAAGAAAAAGCCCATTTGAAAGCCTCCCAGCCAGGTGGAAGCGCTGCCAGCGCGCAGCCTTCAGTCTGGACGAGGAGCAGAGCCCCTCTGGCCGGCGGGCGAGGCGTCAGCTGGTGGGCTCACCGCCCGCGCGGCGCGAGCACGGGGGCAGGGGGCCAGCGCCGGGAGCTGCGGCCGCAGCTGCTCCGGAGAGGGGAGCGGGAGGATTTGCTTCCCTGCAGCTGGACCCCTGCATTAGCAAACGCCTACTGGGAGGGCAGCTTCAGCTGTGAAAGAGCAGCCCCTGCCAGAGCCCCGGGCCTCTCTCCGCGGGGCACATTTCATGGCCACTGCTGCCACGAAGGCGAGCGGAAGGCTGCCGGGCCCCACGCGCCCACCAGCGCCGAGTCTGTGCCCACGGCGACTTTGGGGCTGCCAAAGAGCCCAAGCGAGCTGGTCAGGAGCGAGCAGCTGCTGGGAGAAGCAGGACTCGCAACCAAGAGAGGCCCCACAGGAGCCTACAGTAACTGGGAGAGCTGGGCCAGCGCTGTGCGGCTGTTTGCACTTGGAGCAGCGGCTTCAGACATATCCCCAAGGTTCCCCGGCATGCCAGAACACGCCAGCCTGTGAGCAGGGCCCTTAGGGAAACAGGCCAGGGGTGTGGGGTTCACGGGGTGCTCACTCGACTCCCAAGGTCCTGCACTGCTCCCACCCCCTGTGCAGCAGCACCGCGAGGGGGACGCACAGACAGGAGGACGCTCCCCTGGTATTCCCCTACAGAAAGCTCATTGCTTATCTCATTCCTTCCCCAGCAGTTCCACCCACTCCCCTCATGTGTTTACTGACTGCCGCATCTGTCCTGCAGTGATTTCAGGGGAAGTCTCACAGCATGCCCACTGCTGCAATAACACCTGATGCTTACATGGCTCCTGCTGCATGGGGTGCCCAGAGCGTCCCAGGCCCCGCAGGAGAAGGGATCCAGACTCA